GGGCTGCATCCGGCCCCCAGGCCTTAGGTTGCCTACCCCTGCTTTAGAGTCCACATTAATTTGGCCATTTGGGCTATCTCAGCAACCTTAACAATCCATTCTTCCATCATCAGTGTTTAAGTCTGTTTCCAAGTTTGAGCAAACAATACATAAGAGATTATCACACACAATCTAATGCAATTTATCCCCAATGGGATAGACACACATTTAACCAGCAATGATGGATCTTAGCGCATTCCCCATTGACAGTCCGTATGCAGCCTGTATACAACCCAGGCTTATTCCACAGCTTTTCAAGGACTATCCTGTTGGGGATAAGTCATGTTGGATCATATGTGATAATATCCATATTTCTTCTGCTTTTATATATCAAAGAAGTAATCCATATTTACTATCTGGTTCTTTATCCATAAAGCTTAACCGAAACATTTCTGGTAACATTGCAGTATCTATCTTTAGAATTTTTGGAATTAACATATAAATCTTGACCAGTAACTTTTTGCCTTCTTGCAAGTTCACCACATATGAAAAAAAAAAGGAAAACTGGGTAAATTTTATATCTTTAGACCACATTTTTTCCCATACAGTAATGCCCAAAATTTTGGGTCAACCTTATCATGTACTCTTTTACAGGCACATCTTCTGTCTCTAGTTTCAGAAGCAATTTATATACTTTTTTAATTACATGGTCATTGTCTTTACACAACTCTAAATACATCTAAAAGGCCATGCTCTAATTTTCTATAAACTCTATGGCGGCATTCTCTTGTCTTGATTAAATCTTTTCTTAAATTGTATATAAGCAAATGAGTTAATATATTTGCCTTCCTTAAGAATTATCTCTCTTGATTTAAACTTCCAACTATCTTGTTCAAAATACAAAATATTGTTAAAGAGCAACCACCTCCAATTTTTAACCCATTATTTCCTTTTAAAAGGAGAGGGAATTCCTTCAGTGAGGTAGCTAATATCTTAGGGGAAAGTTTCTCTTTATATTTATACCAAATGTATAAGAGAGCCTTTTTAATGCACTGATTCATCATGTGC